AGGGAGCTTGCCTTCTTGAAGGTATTTAATTATCGGTTGTCTCCAATCTGCTTCTTCATCGACTGCTAAAGAGGTGAAAAAGACTTGGAAAATTTGTTTGTTGATGTACTCCAAATCTATAGGAGACAGGACTTGACGACCCTGTACCTCTATAGGGATGGAGTCTTCTTCTGGGCAGGCAAATTCCTTTGCAAGCTTTGCGAGGGCATCCGCCGAAGAATTGCTTCCACGGGGAATCCTATACATAGTTATAATTGGAATTTGCTCGAGCAAGTGACATGTGTACTGGTGGTACTTCAGGAGTTTAGGATTCAAAACCTTATAGGTCCCAGCAATCTGGTTGATCACCAGTTGAGAGTCACCAAAGATTTTAATCTTTTTAATCTCCATTAAAATTGCAAGTTCCAGGCCAGTTATCAGAGCTTCGTACTCAGCCTCGTTATTCGTATAAGGTTCTGATAAATGATAAGAAAAGTGCATCATTCCCTTATCTGGTGTTATGAATACCAGGCCAAATCCAACTTTCTCGGGAATAGTAGATTCAGGTGTTTTGCCCCGTTGAGAGGACGCAGCACCATCAATATTCATTTCCCAGGTTTGAGTTGTGGCTTCCTCAAAACTCATGATTTGCTCATCAGGTAAATAATCATTTAGAGGAGATTCCACCGGCAGTGGGTGTGCCTCAAGGAAGTCGGCGATGACCTGCCCTTTCACAGCACGCAGGGGAATGAAAGTGATTTCAAATTGGAGCAATATCATAGATCAACGAGCCAAACATCCTGACAACGTAGGCCTGGTCATAAGACATTGCAAGGGGTTGAAATTAGAAATTAAGTTGATTTGATGAGAAAGTATGTAATGTCTTAGTTTTTGAGCTGCAAAGACTAAGACAAGATAATGTTTCTCAATCGTTGGACACCGAATTTCCATTTGTAGGAGTCTCCGACTTAGGTAATAGAGAGCTTTCTCTTTCCCTTCGTCATTAACTTGAGCAAGGAGGGCCTCGAGAGACTCGTCAAGGGCCACAGTGTAAAGGATTAAAGGTCTCCCCGGAATAGGGGCTGTCAAGACTAGTGGATTTGTCAGGTATTGTTTGATGTTTTCAAAGGCGGATTGACATTTCTCGTCCCAAATGAATTTGGCATCCTTTTTAGCAAGGACCGAGAATGGTTGACATATTCCGGAAAGATTAGAAATGAATCTTCTTATGTACGCCAGTCTACCTTGAAGAGACCTTAGTTGAGTAA